ATCTCTAACAATGGACTGGTGACCTTGCTGTGGTTCTTCCTGCTGCTGGGCTCCTACACTGCCATTCTGGTGATGCTCAGGTCCCACTCCGGAGAAAGACGGAGCAAGGCCCTCTCCACCTGCACCTCCCACAGCCTGGTGGTGACTCTCCACTTTGTGCTTTGCGTCTACATCTACTGTGGGCCCTTCACCACCCTGCCCATGGACACAGCTGTGTCCATCAATAACACAGTCACCACCCCCATGCTGAACCCCGTAATCTACACCCTAGGAACCAAAAGATGAAGTCAGCCATGAGGAGGCTGCAGAGGAGGCTGGGACCTGATGAGAGCACTAATGTGGGGTGAAGTCGGGTGGAGCCTGGGCGTCTGAGACTGGACTCTTTGTCTCAAACTGCCAGCTTAGGAGTAGAAGGTGGCCAGCTCTTCGCTCTAGTCATCCCAGTGTGCATCTTCATAGCCACTCGGCTCTCACAGAGGGGCAATAAGAACAGAAGAGTTGCGACTGAACGACATGAGCTAACACCATGTGGACTGGGAAGAAGTGCAGGCAATAAGAGTAAAATCCACAACCTAACTGCTGCTTCAGTGTCACCTCTTGCTCTTTGGCCATCAGTTACTTCATTTTTACCACCTGTAATGTGGAGATGGCATTGGCTGATCACAGACCTGTCATAGGCATGAAACGTGGACAGTGTCATATGCTCCCGGTTGGTTTTCCCTCCACTCCCAAATATGCATATACAAAGACTAGAGACATATTTCACACATACTCTCTCTGGTGACTCTGTTATTTCCAGTCAATTATTAAAATCACTTGTTCTTTTTTTTTCATTTTAATGTTATTGGCACAATTTAGATTTACATAATGATCGCATTCATCATAGGGGATTTGTCACTTCACATGATGTACCTTGATTCACTTGTTCATTTTATATGTTTTCAGTAAACTGTGAACATTTTGGCATAAGTCTTTATTTTTAATATTTTTCTCTTTATATCAGTGCATGTTTGCAGTGCGTAATGAGCACCTTCATCGTGGATAGCTGGTGCACATACATAACACGTCTTCACCTTTGCCTACCTCCTTTCTCTCCCCCTTCTCCCCTCCCTCCGTCTCTGGGTCCGCTTCCTATTTGCAAAAGATCAGTCTCCCTGTTTCCTATTGTTCATTTTTCATTCTGCTTTTTAGTTTTATTCTATGGTTTTCTCATATTCGAGAAACTATGTCATATTTAAATGTATGTGTCTGACTTATTTCACCTGATAGATTCAAGGTGCATCCGTTTTCCTACAAAAGATTCAGGTTTATTCTTTCTATAGCAGCGTAGTTACAGTATCTTAGTATGTTTCACCAGCTGGTGAAAAGAGGGGATGTTTTCAGCTGTGTTGAGTCAGGCATACACAGGAATGAATCTACACATGAATCAATTTATTTCCTGTTCTGAGGTCCATTCTACCGGCTTGGCCACTGAAATGAACCTCAAAGTTATTTGTGCAGTTTAGAAACATACTTGCATGAAACCCACAAGGACGGTTCATTTTATGTTAACCTGAGCCTCCTTTCACCTCTATCCCTTCTTTCCATTTCACCCCAAGGCTCTTATAACTGAAGTAAATTTGTAACTTTTGACTGTGCGTGCATGAACAATCCAAGACAAGTCATTTTAGTTTTTAAAAATCTACCTAAGATATACCTTCTCCCCTCAAGGCCTATATTTTGTACCAGAAGAGAAAAAGAACACGTTGTATTTA